GAATGTATCATAGCTCTCTTCACTCAATGACCAGAAATTAAAAACTCACAAATTGTTAGCTGTAAATATCCATTGTTTAAAATTTGTCTTATACTAAAAAGCAGACATTTTACTATTTCTGTCACCATCTTTTATACAGTTTGCATTTTAAAAAATTTAGCCAAATCCACTGTCCTACAAACTAGAGTCCAAAAGCAATGTGAATATATAGGACACAAATCCAGTCAAATAAATCCTTTCAGTACTTTCCAGGCTTCAATGAAAGGAATCAAAGAAAGAAAAAGGGAAGGAAAGGGAAGCTGATAGGAAAAAAAAAAAACTAAGTTCAAAAGAATGACAATAATACAAAAAAATAGATACATAAATCTCACATTCTAAGGCTTAAAAAAAAGGAACTCACACTGTACTAAAAATGAAACCACATATTATGCATTATGGGGTCAGAGTATTCATCTCAGAACAAGGAAAAGACAGATATGCCAAGAATACACATCACTTGTCATAACACAGGGAATTGGTCTCTGACACCTAGAAAGCTGACTTCCTCCGTTTGCTGCTTCTGTCCAGACACGCACTAGCATCTCAAAAGCAGAAGCAGTCACTCAGCTAACCATATGTTGCTGCATCACCCCGTTATTCAGGCCAGTGGTGTGGAACAAAACAAAAGCAGGCTGCCAACCCCGAGCAGAGGCTGTCCTTTGCCAGCCTTTTAAAATAATGCTACTGAGAGCAGGAACATTTTTCAGAGACTTAATAGGCAGTAACGCCTGTAAACTCTTGTCGGGTAACCTCACACCATCAGTCTGGATGCAGAGGCAGAAGACCCTCCCTCCCCCCCACACTTGCCACAGGCAGTGAGAACCTGGGGTGACACTTGCTGATTTCCACGTGGGAGCAGCGGCAGGAGGAAGAGAGGAATGGAACCACGTGAAAGAGACGCAGAACCACGTGTGTGATTTTGACATTTATGCCGCGTGGTAGCCCGTGGGTCCCAGGGAACCAGGACTCTCATTTTCGCCTCCTACTGCCACTCTGACCTTCCCTGATCGGTGAGTCAGTAGGAGGCAGAAATTACAGTGCTCATTCTTTTTTTCCTTTGAAATTTAGGGCTGTTCAAAACCAAACATTTCAAAATCATAAGACAAACTCCCTAATCTGAGAGCTGCTTCTTTCACTGTCTTCACTGGAGACAACGAATATGAAACAAGAGTATCCATGCATGTCTGTAAAAATAGCACTAAGATAATGTTTGTATCTAACAGAAAGAAGCTGCCTACTATAACCTTGACAAATTTATGATCGTAGCACAAAATATAAATGGTAGATTTTAAAAAAAAATCATCTTGAAATTAAAATACTGGCCTTACTCTAAGCTAAAAGGTGTCTCTTCCAAACACAGTACAGAGAATTCAGAAAGGCATAACAAAGCAACTGAAAGTGCAATTAAGTAAAGGGATAATTTAAACACGTTCACGTGAAGAAGCGCTGGTTGGTTTCAATCGCACAACCGTGCTGAGCCCCGGCTCCACGCGCAGAGCTGCGGGACCACGGGGCAGCCGCGGTAGGGCACAGCCCGAATCCTTACGGAGAGTTTGACCCAACAGGAAAGATAAGGACAATGTCCATATGAAATGACCCCAAGACCTCAGAAACAGCAGAAGAGACATACGAAGAATGTATCATCAAGTTTCCAAGAAAAAAATACTACGTCCACAAAATCGGAAAAACCTTCAGAGTGGAGGTGGCATTTTAGATGCTCCTTGAAGGATGGGCAGGATTTCAAACATTGGAGAGGGAGGTGAAGGGTGAAAAACGAATAAAGTACAGAGGCAGAAAAGATAGTTTACTCTGTAGGCAGTATTTCCCGAGCTGCGCTTCACAGACACTGATTCGAGAGAAGCCAACAGATGTGCTCTAAAAAAGGGTGCTGTAGTCAAATTAGTTTGGAAAACACCACACCCTGCAAGGGCCCCCGGAACCTCCCAGCGCACAGTAATACAGCGGAGGCTCTGAGGGCCGCTGCAACAGGGCAGCTGTTCGACCCGAGGCCCCACACTTCTCTGCTCCAGAGCTCATGTGAAAGAACACCTATGGATTCCTCATTGCCAGAATCACTACCAAGCAAATCTGGGCCAAGGCTCGCAGAGCAACTCTGAGACACCGCGGAGGCCGCACAGCCGCGGGCATGAGGAACCACGAGACCGAGGTGCCGCCCCGCACGTGGCGGGGACGGCATTTCGGACACGCCACGTGTCTGGACTCCGTGGCAAGCATCCACGGTGCGCACTGGAGGCCAAACAATCAATTTCAACAGTGCGTGTAAACATTCCTTTAACTGCGTTTTATGTTGCAGAAAACAAGCAACTCCAGAACAGGAGAAACACACCCCTAGTCAGAGGGAGCGAGCAAAGGGGCAGTACCGGAAGGCGTCCCGGCGAAAGCGGAGGCGGGCACGAAACACGCAGGCACTGCCCCCGTTTCTGTTTTCCTCCCTAAGCCTGATGTCAACTCTCAGTCTACAGGTCATCCACTTCAAGTTACAGCTACAGCTGCCCTTTTTTCCATGTCTGTCCATATTTCTAAAACAGTATTTGAAAATATAAACAACGCAGATTTAAACTTGTAAGTGCATAATTAGCACTTCCAGCTACCTCATTTCCTAAAGGAACTGTGAATGCACTACTTCCTCCTTCACTGTATCTCTGTTTCTCTGCGCACACACACGCGTGCACACACACACACTTTCTCTCTCTCTCATGGCGGCAGCATCAGAACCAATTACCTGTGGCTGGAACTGAGGTACAGGTGGCCCCTGCATTCCTTGTGATTGCTCATCCATTGTCTAATGCAACAGGAACTTCAGAACTCTGCAAAAAATGTAAAGTTGAAATGTAAATAATGCAATCATTAACAATCTGAGTTGCTCATCATACACCTGATATTTGTGAATGTTAATTTCACCTAATCTTTCAAAAGTGCCCAGTAAGACATCCCATACTTTTATCTGCCATCTGCTAAATCCAAGCTCTGTTTGGCTAATACAAATATTCACTGTCCCAACTAATCCTTCTCAATAGTAGCATTTTACGCTTAGAAAATCCTGCTTCATGAGATGAAATTCTCCCTTCTCCGTTATGTCTTACAGAGCACAAAAGCTTCCCCTCACCCTCCTCAGTACAAGATGATCATCGCTGTGGTCAGCTTCATGTAATCACGGCCAGTGCTTCACATTCCTAAAATGCACCTCTTCTTTATATTCTGAAAGTGTTAGTACTTCTGTTCTTTATGTCCAACTACAATGCTTCCTGTGATTTCTTAGGTTTAAACTTAAAAGGTCGGTCCTCATATGAGTGTTTACTCTTTTTTGCACACTTTGTTTGTAATTATAAAACACCATCCATTAATTCAGCAAACACAGTAGGCTGAAGCCAGTCATGTGCCAAGTACTGCACAAAGCTCACAGACCGAACTACAAAGGAAACAAATGCCAAGTATCTCTAGGCTCTTCCTAAGAGTAATTTTATAACTAAAATCTTGTGGGTTAAAAAGTTAGGGTCCACTTAAACAGGATCAACAGATGGAGAAACTAAAACACATCTTCACTTCATCATACTCTTTAAAAAGCAGTAAAAATACTCTAGACATGGGTCATGTGTATTACAAATATTTTCTTCTATCCTATGACTTGTCTTTCTTTAAAAAATCTTCCCAATGCCGTCTTTTAATTAACTTATGAACAGAGATTCATAAATGGCCTACTTAATCAATCTTTCTCTTTATGATTAATGATTTGGGGTACTCTTTAAGAATTATTTCCTTTACCCTAAATTCTCGTGTTATCTTCTAATGTAAGCTTTACTGTTTTTGCCTTTCATATTTAGATCTGCAATTGACCTGGAATTAAATGTTTGTCTTTATGGTGAAGTCAATATTTAGTTTCTTTTTCCATATATGCCTATCCAGTAGCCTTCAGATCACATGATGAAAAGATGACCCTTTACCCCACACCCCACTGCAGCACTGCTCTATCATCCTTGTCATATACATCAAACAACTGCACAGACATACACTAAATTAACTGGTGTATAGCGCAGCTTTGCTATGGACATACATTTAATCATATCTGATATTAATATAAATTTTAGAACCATCCTGTTTCTACTTTTTTTTAAAAGCCTATTGGGATCCTGATTAGGATTACATCAACTCTATAGATCAATATGGGAAGAACTGACATTTTAATACTGGGTTTTCAAATCCAGGACACAGGATATCTCATTTATTTCAGGTTTAACTTCTTTCAATAATGGTTTTCAGTTTCAGTACTCATCTTTCACATTTGTTTCCAAGTTATTTCCTAAGTATATTATATTTTTTATACTATTATAAATAGTGGGTGCTTTTTATTTCCATTTTATTATAGTGTACAGAAACACAACTAATTTCTATATATTGGCCCTTTATCTTGCAAGTGTGCTAAACTCACTTATTAGGTCAAGCAGATTTCTTACAGATTCTTGCCTTACTGCAATGGCTAGAACCTCCAGCACAATGAACAGAAGTAGAGACACCCTCTTTTTGTTCTTACCTCAGGAGAAGAGTATTCAGTCATTTACTATTACATTTAATGTAAGATGCACGTTTTCCCCATATGCCCTAATTTATCA